AAGATATAGACAAGAGTAATAAGGATAAAAAAGAATATGAGTGAGTTCAATTACAAATGTTTCGTTTCACTCACTTAAAAAAGGATATTGATAAGATTGACTAAGACCAGAGATGGGCAACAAAAATTGTGCAAGGTCTAAGGGACAAACATATCAGGAGAGACTGAGGAACTGAATATGTACAACCTGGAGGACAGAAGAGAAAGGGGGGGGGGGCAGGATTGAAACCTTTAAATATATTAAGGGTGTTAATAAGGTTCTAGAAGGCATTCTTAATATTAAGCAAAAATCAAGAACACCGGGGCATAACCTCAAAGTGACAGGAGGGAAGTTCAAAAGTAATGTTAGAAAGTATTACTTCATAGAAAGAGGCAGTAGAAGCTTGGAACCAACTACCAGCAGAGATAATAGGTCAATCATCAGTAACTAAGTTTAAACATGCTTAGGATAAACACAAAAATAATGCTTCTGACAAAAATAAATAAAATAAAATAAAAATGAATAAAAATTATAATCAAAAATAATAAATATATAAATTAAAAAGAAAAAAAAACCTCAAGAGGGCAGACTCTATGGATCACTAGATTACTGCCTGCCAACTATCTGGTGATCTGGGAATGTTCAGGATGAGAGGGTTTATTTGAAATTTATAGGGTTTTTTTTTACAATTGGTGGAAATTTGTCTATTCAACAATGAATGGCAATGGTGAAAATCCTAGAAAAATAGCCATTTCATAAAAACTGAATGAATACCATTCAGAACCATACATGTCTATATACAAGTGAACACATAAACCAGGCAAATGCATCCTTCTAATGTGTCATGGGCACAAAAAACATACTACAGCAAAAACTCACAAGACAAAAACTGCAGATGTAGTTCTTGCAAAACAACCTCTTTTCTTATTAATTCTCCCTTTTGGCTCCCATAGGTTTTCCCTTTAATTCCTAGATTCTTTTGTCTTTTTATTGATTCAATATATATTCAATACCTTTTTATTTCTTAAGGAGATTTATGGATCAAATGAATATGGTGCCAGAGGCATTACTAGAAATACAGTTGATAATGCTATTTTCTTTGCAGCACGCTACGCTCTATTCCCATTTTTAGAGTACAAGGATTTTTTTTAAAAAAAATTGAGAAGTCATATGGAGCAGGATGAGGAGCATATGGTAGGGGCCAAAGAAAGTAACATGGCAGACATCACATTGGGAATCTCAATACTATAATTTTCAGGAGAATATCTAAAATATAGCATTTACTAAGCAATATAGAATTTGCAATTTCAAGATTTTTCTTTATGATAAATATAGTGTAGGTTGCAACAAAGATTCTAAAGATTTTGGATTGCATTCAGCTTTGATCCATACTTGCTTTATTTCCCAGATGATAAAAAAATTGACAGCAATGATCAAATTATTCAAGATCCTTGGCTTCTTAATTTTATTACCATATATATATAGGAGCCAGTTTAGTCTAGTGCCGTGGTGGCAAACCTATGGCACTCATGCCACAGGTGGCATGCAGAGCCCTCTCTGTGTGCATGTGCACCATCGCCCCAGTCCTAGGCCTTCAGCTGGGTTTTATAAAACCTTTTCGCTTTAGGCCTCCGCCACCGTGTGCAAAAAAAAAAAGATTAAATCAATCAATCAATTTCAACTTCTCGCGGGGAAAAAAAGATCTCGCAAAGTTGGAACTGATTGATTGGACTTTTTAGTGCCACCCAGTCTGCCGTTACCACCGCAGCAACGCTCACCTAATGGGCCATGCCCACCCAATTGGCCACACCCACCCAATGGGCCATGCCCACCCAATTGGCCATGCCCACCTGGCACCCAATGATAGATAAGTGGGTTTTGAGTTGCAGTTTGGGCACTTGGTCTCTAAAAGGTTCACCATCACTGGTCTAGTGGTTAAGGCATCAGGCTAGAAAGCAGGGGACCATGAGTTCAAGTCTCACCTTACTCATGGAAAGCTAGCTGAATGACCTTGGGTGAGTCACATTGTCTCTCAGCCCAACCCACCTCACAGGGTTGTTGTGGAGAAAATAGGAGGAGGAAGATATGTTGGATATGTTTGCCACCTTGAGTTTTTTTTGTAAAAGTAATAAAAGTGGGATAGAAATAATCAAATAAATAAATAAAATACCTTGCATTCAAAATTGCCTAACTGACTGTGACCTCCAAATGTGCAGCATAAAAAATTATGTGGACTTATTTATTATTAAAGAGTATTGCTGAAGAAACTTGCTATCCATCCTCCTTCCATCTATTCATCCACCCACCAGGACACTTCCTGTTTGCCTGCAAGTGATGCTTTTCTGCTTTTCTTTCAGCTCTCCAGCTGCATCATATTTGATCAGAAGTTATATAATCTGGATGTACAGTCAGCCTGCACATGTCCCAGCATAAATTTGCTTTGCACAGAAAGTAGCCTAGAATAGTCTGTGTTTTGTCCATTGTTTCTGTATTATCCATACAACGGTCTTTTCTCTGTCTTCAGTTCTTATCTGTTCGTGTGGAATAGTAATCATGGGGCTCTTCATCATTCGAGTCAACTGTCACTCCAAATCTAATTTATGGGCAGAATACAAATGCTGGGGTGGAATTTATGATGGTTGAAACCTCAACTTGAATTTAAGGAATTCAACTTCTCTGACAACATATTAAGACAGCAACTATTGTTAGCAGCCTAAATATGTACTACAGTAGCGAGTGTGTGTGGGAAAAAATTGCCCCCTTCCCATTAGAAATCTAATAGATCCACCTAAAGTTGGATTAGAAGAGTCAAAGATGCAAAAACATAAATCGTATCTTGTTAAAATTTCTGCTCAAGGTTTCACCTTATTCTTGTTTAACAATGACCTATATCTAGATTTACTGAATAAGAGAAGCAATACAGACTAAATTCAGCTTTTCTTAATTGAATTGGGGGAGGGGAAGAAATGCAGCTTAGACCAGTGTTTCTCAACCTTGACAATTTTAAGGCATGTGGACTTCAACTCCCAGAATTCCACAGCCAGCAATGCTGGCTGTGGAATTCTGGGAGTTGAAGTCCACATGCCTTAAAATTGTCAAGGTTGAGAAACACTGGCTTAGACAATAAAGGTTTGAGGTGAGTTTGCTCAATGCAGCTGCTTTTGAAGTAAAAAGTGCTTTTTCACATCAGTGCTCTATGGAAAAGTGTAACAAGATTTTCCACTGGATGCTTTTTTAAAATTAAGATTGTTCTTTAAAAGGCCAACAGTTAGGAACACCAATTCAAGAAATCTGGCCAAAGACAGATCCCTAAAAAGTCCATGAAAGCTGAATGAATCTTTAGTGCGTTCGGATGTTTGCAAAAGTCAATTTGCTGTATCAAGAATTAACACAATTTATTTAATAATTTTTATGTCACCTATCTCACTAATACAGTGATTCTGGGTGATTTACAATATGATAGGAATACTGGAAAGATTTTAGCAACCAAGTCATATGGCAACTTCAAGTCCAACAGATTTCGGGAGCTAAAGCTTACCCAATCCAAACAAGTGACTTTTTTGTCTGGGAAAGCTTATGATATCATGTATTTATTAGTCTTTGAATTGCCATGGGCCTAAGGGATTCCTCCCCCCTGCAAAATATACTAACACTGTTATTCTTAAAAAAATTCAGTCTTTTCCAAAATCAATTGAGCTCCATATCTGGTTTGCATGCAGTGTCATATTAGTAATGGCAATCTTCTGGAAGCAATTCCTGTTGAGAATCTAACTTGTTCAAATTTCAGGGTGAGACTCTACCATCAGCTGGTGTACAGCTGAATATACTGCTAATGTAACTTTGATACTATGAATACCTTACTATTATCACCAATTATCAAGGTTGTTTTTAAAATGTATGTGGGCTTCCAAGCAACAGGCCACATGATTGACAGCCAATAAGTCCATCTAGCTCTCCAGCAGAAAGTGATTTTGTTTTGAAAGCTATGAGGCTTACTTAGCCAACTTCTATTGTGAGCTTAAGTTTGATATTATAATCATTTACAACAAGCGTTTAAGAATGACACCTATACCTAATTACCTGAAAGAATTTCCCACAATAGTAAGTCTGAGTAGACACATAAAACTAGCTTTAAGGAAAATAATGTCTCAACTTTTTCTTTATTTTAAATATGAATCCTAGTAATTATGTATATACAATTTAGATATTTGAAAAAACAATACTGCAATAGGGAGAAAAGTTATGTCACAAGTATCTATTTTACTTTATCATTTTTAATGAGAAACTTATCAAGAGTAAAAGACATGTTACATATGCCCCTTAAGCAAAGAATAAATTGATTTTCAAAGTCAATGCAAATGGAAATCAAACGCATCTCATTTTTCTACTACAGTACGTGTGTGTGTGGTCAGTGCAACTTTTCTTTTATAAATTACACTTTTGAAAAATCTACATCTAATTATTCAGCCCCAGGAAATCAAGAGTCAGTTGCTTTATTTGAAGCCCCAAAATATTCTAACAAACACCAATAACCAGAATACTATAAACCATTTAAAAAGACTCATAGCAAGGAGGTTAAAGACTCAGAGTGAACACTACTTAGTAAAAATAAAATGACATTTAATGGACTGCTGAGGACTTAAAGCTCTGTTGCAACAGAACAGAATGCCACTTTTACTGAATGTCTATGGAGATTCTCAGTCATCCAGGTTATGGTTTTACTTTTACTGAACCAGACACGAATACCTGTATGTAAATATCCATCTACAAATACATGTTTATCTTTCCAAATCATGAAACTTCATTGATTAGCTAGAACCCTCTCCATTTGTCTTCCTGAGACTGCCATGAAGCAACCTAAGCTAGGTTCAAATGAGGGAACAAAATTAACAAGCCTTGGTCTACTTTTGGTTCAAATACCACCACACTGGTGCCCAAAAGAGGAATGTTCTCATATATCCCAACCTGAGGACAAAGGCGCCATGGAACGAGAGGTCATGGATGTTTTGGTAAAGCCTCACCTCTGGGTCCTGTAATGACAGGTCGATGATGCTGGGTGAATGCCGTTCCAAGGGAGGAGGTCTGTGAAGGCGAGGGACTGCTGAAACCAGACTTCTCTGACTTCTTTAATGTAGTTGGCGATGGCAATCCTGGCAAGAATGATTGATACGTGCAATTTAATAATGCTAGCTCACAGAAAAAAAATGCCTCTGCATTTGGAAACTGGGTGCGAAAGCAAATAGATAAACTCAAAGGACAAATTAAACTGCATACAACAGCAAGCTTACTTTTATTTATGACTGTCTTTGGGAACAATGGGCGGCTACCGCCGAGGTAAAGAAAGGCACATTAAAATGTAGCCATATTTTTCTTTTTAAATCTCTGAGGGCAGAAACTGGCACCTCATTCATTATCACTCTTATCAAGTTCCATCGATAAACGCCACTTTGAGATGTGTTTGTGTTTTTAAGGGATCGTTCTATCGTTTATTCTCTCCAGTTTATGAACAGGTATTAAAAATGTCTCAGGGAAGTCAACAGAGTTCAGTGGGTTGGAACCTCAATGATTGGACTGTGAGAATGAGTAACACTTCTCTCTCAAGTTCCTGCTTGTTTCATAGTCTCTGAGAATTTGGAGTAGTTTACAACAAGTCAAGCAACAGAATGAAGGCTGCAAAAGGTCCTGTAAAAAGCATTTCTGTGGTCGGAAACATTTTGTGGGAATAACAATATTCTTGAATTTTTCTTTTAGTTGCTCCCAACCTTTTGTTCAGTACACATCTTGTTTCATTCCCGGCAACTATGATCAACTAAGCTTCATTCCACCACATCTGAGGGTACTGGATTAGGAAAGACTGTTCTGTATAGCAGGTTAAAAGGTCGTTTCCCAAATCAATTTAGCACGCTGTAATTTGAATGTTGTTTTATGTGAGTATGTTTAGATATATATATATCTGCTTTCTTCTCCTACTTAGTGTTGACTTCTGAAAAAAATCCTTACTGGAAAACAAACTTTCTAAGATGCTGAGAACTTTTTAACATCACTTGAAACAAATCAGTTTTAGTATTATCAGAACCACAGGGAGATGCCTTGTGCCCAGTCTGTTTGTCCATCTGCTCCAATATTTTCTGCATGGACTGATAAGGTAACTTTACTAGGGCATTGTGAGAAATCACTGGAGGGAAAGGAGAACCAGTAAGACTGCCTCCCCCCCACACACACACACACTGCCCTCCTTGCACATGGAACAATTCCTGGATCACTATGCCTTCTTTGTATGGAACAAATCTGTTCAGGAAATAATCAGTACGGACAAGTAACTTATTAATCTTTTGCTTTGAAATGTTGTATACAGTAATTTTACCTCACGATAGACATATATAAAGATACACACATACAGTGTTAAGATGCAGGCCTAAAATTTAATGAAACACAGGACAGGAAGGAATGGTTAGGTCAGAACAGAGGGCAGGTCCTTAGTCTTTCTTGTCTGTCTGTCTGTCACCTATCTACCCATGCATTTCCAATTTCTAGGCTATCCAACCCCAAACATAATTCTGGGTGGCTTTGCAAATGTGTAACAATAGAGAAAAATCAAACACCCTGCTCCAATCATTCCAAGGGAAGAATGGGGGGGGGAAACCACAATCTCCCTCTTCACTCTCAATCAAGTGAGATCTACCATCCAGATTGACCTGAAGGAGGAGATATAGTTTAGAGCTTACTTTAAAGCAGATATGGTAGAGGATGAACAGATATTTGTGGAAGAAGGCACTGTCATAGGAAGGGCTACTTTCAAGTCCCTCTAGATGACATGCCTTAATCCTAGGGACCCAAAGCAAGGCAACTTTCTTTGATCATATAGGACAGGCAGATACTACAGAAGACAGACATCTCTCAAGTACCCAGGCTCTATGCCACACAACCCAGCATCAGGTTGTGAAATTCTGCTGATATTCATTATAAGGTCCTTTTAACGGAGTTAAGCCATTAAAAACTCACTGAACTGAACAGTGCTTTATTTCTAAATAGACACGAGTTCACTTTAATATCAGAAATTTTACTTTCATATGAGATTCACTATGTTCGAGGAGGTGTAATCTTAGAAGTAAATGTTCTTAACGCTGCAGTCATAATATGATCATAAATGACTATATTAGTTCAACTGACCTTGATATAATTGAGCTGAAAGTTAAATTTTGAATTACGGAAGTATGGGAATTACACTTTATAGTGTAAATAATGATTTATTGGTGATGAGTAGCCCCTAAACTGCTATCCTATGCAGATTTACCGGGGCAGAAACATAACTTAATACACTGAGATCTGCTTCTGAGAAAGCAGTTTCCCATTGCTTGATTATAAGCTCGGAGATCCCTATCAACATACAGCTTTATCTCATAGAATTTTATAAGAATTACTAGGATAATGTATGTGAAGTCATAAGGAAATGCATACCAAGTATCAAATGCTAAATTAACAGTGTACTGCCTGTTTATTGTTGTTAGCCATAACCAATTTAACTTTTTGAAAGGGCAAAAATGGCTGACTTCTGAGCAAACACATATAAATGTTAAAATCTTCTTCAAGCTGGACCCAACATCTAAGGCAGTGTTTCTCAACCTTGACAATTTTAAGGCATGTGGACTTCAACTCCCAGAATTCCACAGCCAGCAATGCTGGCTGTGGAATTCTGGGAGTTGAAGTCCACATGCCTTAAAATTGTCAAGGTTGAGAAACACTGATCTAAGGACTACATGGACACATCGATGTAGTTTACTTGACAGCAATATACAAGAGATTTGTCACTGCCTTTTTATAGGATATTGCTTGACTTCCCAGTCTAGCTTAATGAACTGGTATTTTCTAGTGAATTCCCCTTCAAAAAAATAACCAGGCACAACCCTGGTTAGCTTCTGAACTCTCACAAAGTTAGCTAGGTACTCTCATCTACTTTTATGAATTACTTGTTTGATGTAGCAAACCAACAGCTCCATTCAATTTTTTAAAAACATTATATATACATAGCATGGTTTTATAAAAAGTATACATATTACATTAACACAGCCACAAAATATATTATTGTTATGGCTGGCTGCATAGTCAGCCAGATGTTTAGACTGGATATGGTATTTTTATCCACCTGTCAAGTCCTTCCCAAGGACCCGGGATAGGCAGATGTTGTTGTTTCATGGTGTTAAAGGTATTATCACAGGATGTAAGCTGTCCCAAGCAAAGCTGCCTTTTGTAATTGACTGGTGGTGATTTTAGCAATGTCGGAAAAATGCTTTTGGTCCTTCAGATGATTTTGGACTGCACTCACAGCACCTATTACTATTGGCACTATCTTTGCTTCCTTTTTCCACAGTCATTCTACTTCTATTTGCTGGTATTTGTATTTTGTGGTATTCTCCAGTTCTTTCTCTTCTCTTTTGCTGTCTCCATGTACACTATCTAGACTTTTTGTGTGTTATCCACAATTAAGTCTGGGGTGCTCTGTGGCAGGTGCTCGTCTGTTTGAATGTTAAAGTCTCAGACCACTTTAGCTTCTTCATTTTCTATTGCTTGGTCTATTTTGTGGTCCTACCAGTTTGTGCTTGCAGGCAAATGCCATTTCTTGCAGATCTTCCAATGCACCACTGTTGCTACTTGTCATGCCCTTGCTTGTAATCAGATTGTACAACTGCAGCATCTAACTAGGTGGTCCAGTGTTTCTTCAGTTTCTTTGCAGAGGTAGAATCTGCTGCCTGTTGCTGTCTTTTTGATTTTGGCTTTGTATGCCTTTGTTTTTAAGGCTTGGTCTTGTGCAATCAGAATTAAAAATGAGGACCCAGAGTGTTGGGGGCAATATGCTGACTCGGCAAACCATTTAGAGTGCTATAAAGCACTATGAAGTGCTATGTAAGTCTAAGTGCTATTGCTATTAGCCCCTCTGTCTCTTGCTTCAATTTTTCTGCTATTAGCCATTGTTGTTATCTCCTTTGCCTGCTATTGTAGGAATATAGCAATATTTTGCCTTGTTACATCTCTTGTTTTATTCTTCATTTGGTCTTTCTTGTAAAACAGTTTGTCTCTCTGGTACTCAGATATATTAGCTTCAGTGCATCTTCACTGTCCTTCAGGGATTCTTCCAATACCCAATATTCCATATAATATGCTATTAATATTATTATTATGGTTCATTGCACATTATTATTATTATTTTGGGTGATTTGTGGCCAGTCATCCTCTCACTGCCCATCTATCACACAGGATTGTTACTGTGCAGAAAAATAGAAGGAGCATTATATGCATTGCATTGCGCTGTCAATAAATAAATAAATAAACAAATAAACAAACAAATAAAAAAAAAACCTATTTTGTCTTTTTCTGTACTGCACAAATCAATAGAAGCCTAATGCATCATTTTTGGTGTACCATAATAATATTCTGTTTGAAGGTGAAATCAGATGGCTTAGTGAAATACAGATGTGAACCTGCATGCAAGAATGAAAGCTTTAAGAATAATCTAAAATAAATGTTATTCTTCTAAAGTTATTCCAGACATTTGATAATGTCTTTTGTGAGAAATGGCTACATTTATACTTAGAAAAACACAAAACCCGAGAGGCCATTTTAGTACCCTGTGTTTCGTTGAAGTTGCTGATATTTCTTAGCATGGTCTCTTTCATTTATTCACTCTGTTAATTTAAATCAGCATCTGATTTATTTTTCTAGTCCATACTCGATTAAATGTTTATCTGTCTGGGACAAACACTGCAAATGAAACTTGCAAATGGAGATAAAACTTTGAATATTCACTGGAAAATCAGACTCATTTCAAAACTGAGTAATTTCAAGAGGCTGAAAAGTACAAGTTCCACCAACATAAAAGGCACTATATGAAATGATTATGTGATGAAAGTAGAGTAACAAAATAAAACCAAACTGACTAATATGCCACGTAGTAGTGCTTATTATTCAACGGAATATTGTTTTATCTAAGCTATAGATCTGAGGCAAGTAGAAAGAAGGGTTTAGGCCAGAAATAAATAACTAAGTAAATGCAGATCAGATGGAGGCATATCCTCAAACCTTGCCCCTCTCTTTGGGATGAGCATGGCCTTATGTGAGGTATGGCTGCGTGTGACTAAATGCATTAGCAGTCTTT